GACTCCTTGCTCAGCTCCTTGAGGACTCAACGAGGACATCAAAGGTTAAAGGGGCAATTACAAAGGCCAAGTTTGTCTTTTGTTTTCATCTATAACCATATGAAAACCTAAGCATGATGGGGGAATTTACAAATGAGAGAGATAGTGTGAGCAGAACTAACTAGATTTGCCATGAAATTTCTCACTCTTCAATGGCTATGCAAGCAACGAGATGCCTTAAAGAGCATTTTCACTTCAGAAAGGTGGACTAGAAGTAAGCGATTAAAGCATCAAGATGGGAGAAAATTATAGGAAATTGTTATTAATATATCTCTTTGAATCAAAGTCTATCGTGCATTGTATGCTTCTCGCCCTTTGCTGAAGGTGCTTTGATTGGTTGATGTGAGGCAACGCCTGCCATGGCTACATACATGAGATAATACTTCGGGAGAATGGTTTTGAAGAATGATGAAACCAAAAATTGGCTTATGATTGAGATCGTGGATAGGCGATAGGATAACCAGTTTCATCAATACCTCCATGCAGCTAGCTAGTTACTTTTTGAATCCATCTCTTCACCATTAGTGCCCATCGATTTAATCAGGTTGCATAATAAATGGAGGTTTCTTAGATATAATTCAAGGTTAGTTCCTGACCTAGCTTTACAAGATGAGATCCAAACTCATGAGTTGCTCAAGTTCAAATGTGTTTTAGGGAACTTTGGATGAGATATTGTAATTCGGAACGCGGATACTGCACAAGGCAATAAAAAATATCATAACTATGAACTTTGAAGGTTGAAATTCACTAAAAAAGTGTTAACTTTATTGTTTCTTATTTACTTTGTTTTAATTAAATAAATATTGAAATAATATGTCGCTGAGTAATAGGTCCTATATGGGAGTGGGACATCAAATCTTCAACATCTTGCCATTCGAGTATTGATCCTCAAATGTAGTTCATACAGTTGCGAGCACAACTGGAGCACATTTGAACATGTAACTCTTTACTTGCTTGGGTTTCAATTTTTAAAAATCTGTATTATAGAAAAGTATTAATATGTCAGGTATTGGTGAACTTAAATAATAATTTTCTCCTTTGCTTGTTTCCTTACTTTCTATAATGACTCCATACCAAATAGGCCTGAGAAAATTTTTTGTTGAATGATTTTGTCTATGTATGATACAGTGAGCACCTTAGGGAGGGAGAGGTACATGATGCGCATGGGTGGTGTCAACCTAATTGTGGGGCATGATCCCCATGTCGAAGGCGCAAGTGAGTGGATAGTAGATCCGCAACAGGATGGGTGTTTGATGGTGAAGACCTTACTTGGTTGGATGTTGAACAAATTATGGGCGACTGAAGAAGAAGTAATGCCTCACAGTAGATCACAAAGGAGGAGATTTGGGTTCAGTTTCACATGAGTCTAGAGGTTGAGGGGGCTAACTTAGAGGAGATGGAGAAGGAAGATGTATATGTGGAGGGGGTCGATGATAGTGATTATGATGCCTCTACACCTCCCTTTGGATGTGGGATATGCACATGTAAATGATGGATCATCATATGACTTGTCTAATTGGGAGTTGAGAGTTGAGACTTAAGAGACTTAAGAGACTTGAGACTTATTTATATGACATAAGCTTTTGGTCTTTGGAGTTTAGAATTTGAAGTTTGGATGTCATGTAATATGTACTTGTGATTGTGGACTGTGAAGGGCTTTTGGTCATTGGATGTTATGCCATGACTATTTGGCAATTTGGGTTTTAATTTTGTTCATTTAACTTAGTGAATGAGATGGAATGCATTGCTTTATTTTACACGTGAACTGTATTAGACAGTTATTCTATTATAGAATAGGGCCAAAAAACTGTCACTCTTTATGAGGTTGTCTAGGGACTTGAGCAACTAACATCTTGAGGATAAGTTTCTTAAAAAAAATATCTTAAGGATAAGTACTGAATTACAATATCTCCTATGATATTAAATCACACATGAATGTTTTCTAACGCGTTCTTATATTTTTTTTATTCTTTTCCTTTTAAATTTATTGACTGCATCAGAGCTCATCGTCGCATCATGGTGCATCAAAGCCAAACTGCATTGATACAGCATCCCGCATTTGAAAACAGTTGAGGTGACCTTTAAGGGGAGGTCTAGAATGAGGCATCATTCGTAAGGGCAACCATACAACAATAAATGATGAAATCCTCCACTTTGGCGTTAAAATAGTTGGGAAATTGTAAAGCCCAAAAGATAGTTGCAATCTTAATCGTCTCACTGAGGATGACATGATGTATAGTGATCAGAGATGATCCTTCTGTTTGCTGTTTCTGTGGGTGCCTTATGATTGCTGAGAGGCATAATTCGCAATCCTAGTGGGTTGACCTTGAACTTGCCAGTTGACCTGACCAAGTCACAAATTGGGTGAGATTTGGTTGAGACCTTGTAGTTCCTCTTCCCCTTGCTTCTGCCAGTCCAGTAGGTGTAGAAAAAGGGAAGAGTATTTAATTATTAATTAGCATGGAAAATGCAAGTGTAGTTGTACATTAAGTTAAGACATAAATTAGTTACTCATTATTGAATACTTTAATCAATTTGATTGCACCTTATATTAAAGGGTGTGGTTTGTATAAGGCTGAGGCCCTAAACAATCAAAGTAAGGCGCACTTTCAAATAGTGTCAAAAGATGTTGTTTCAGTATTGGAAATCTTGGTGACGTCCTTAAAATTCATTTTTATCTCTAATTATCAAATTTAAAGCTTCAAAATTCGTGTAGATTGAGCAGATCTATGAACACTTGAAAATATTGAAAATTGAGGGTCTCGAAAATGCATTACAAGATGGACTATTTCTAGGACTTGAAATCCATTTTTTCTCATTTCCATACATCTCGATGTTGAGATGATTGATTTGAGGATTTTGGGCATCGAAACAAGTTCTTCTAGTGAATTTTTGATGTGCGCCTTAATTTTATTGTTTGGGGTCTCACCCTTATATAAACATTTTCCTATATTAAATGACTCAAAACAACATAAATTAAATTGCAAAAGACTTCTTCTTTTGATTACATAAAGGAAAAAGTTTACATAAGGTTGCAACCTTAATATGTAGAATTAAAGATGCACCTCAAAAGTCCATTGGAAAGACTGTTTAAATGTTGAAAAGCCCTCTAATTGATTATCTCAACATCGAGATATATGGATATGAAAAAAAAAGAAGAGATTTTGAGTCCCATAATAGTGCATCTTGCAACTCATTATCTAGACCGTCCATTTTCAAGATTTTCTTATGTTTATAGATCTACTTGATTTTATCCATTTGTGGAGTTTAAAATTTTATAATTAGATATGAAAATAGATATTCAAATAATCCTAAGAATTTTTAACGCCAAAATTGCATGTTGTGATATAATTTAGATGTGCGCCTTAATTGGATTGTTTGAGGTTGTTACCTTGTAGAAACCACACCCTTACATAAATTATAAATACCAATTGACATAAATTATATTAAATTAAGCTTACAATCTGCATTCTAAATGATGGAATGATCCACATTTGTCCTTTTATTTGAGAACAAACTTTACAAAAAGTGAATAATTTATCAAAATCTTGGATTTGGGGTTCTATCTCTGATGACCAGAATATGTGAACTATCGGACTTAAAATTATGTATGAGAAACAAGTATGGACGGAAATATGGATTATAGGTTATGAAATTTGAGCTGGATTTTATTTTTGTTGTTCTATCCTTGGATCTATTTCCTACTATAACAAATTACTCTAGAAGTTCCAAAACTCTATACTTGACCTAAGTCATCAACCCTTGAGTCATAGGTCTACCCGATACAGTAGTGACTGAGTCTAGTTTTGGGTCTGGATGCAAAAAGTGTGTTGGGAGGCAAAACAGCCTCATTAAGTAACTCTTCCAGCATTGTGCGAACCATCCACCTATAAGGCTTTAGTTAGCATATATGGAACATGCCCAGAACTATCTCCACACCTGTTGTGCAAAACTGTAATGTAGGAAGAGGTGATCCACTATTTGCCCAGTGCTTCAACATAGGTAGCAAATGTTTGGGAGCTGAAGGCCATGGTGGTGAAAATGATCACAAGAAACTTTATCCATTATGGCCATCCACGAAAAGCAAATGCTTTCAATGGGGCTAGAATTGACCAAATGAATGTTGCGGGATAGTAATATGTTGTGTACTACTGAATGCCAAGTGGAAGGATTTAATGAAGAAGATATAAGAACTATCTTGGGGGTATGTTATCCTATCAGCTGCACCAACTGTATTGGGTATCCTATACTCTAAACTGGCCAGAAACTTGCACAAGGCCTCACACTTTCCATCTCTAATACTCTTTCTGATGGGAGGACATGTCACTAACCTCCATCACCTCCAATGGAAGGTTGAAACAATCTCAACCTAATAAAGAGGGGTCCAAAAGCAACCCTAAAATCTAATGAAAACACAATTGCAAGGGTGCTTGCGCGATCCAAATATCTAACCGGTTCCTTGTAAGCATAGGCTTGTGACATCTATTTATCATGATTATTTGTTTGTGAATTGCTTCCTAGTGTCAATTGGATCATTGTGAATTACGTTTTCGTGATTTCATCCTTATAGAGAAATTGTGATTCTTACATGCCTAATTTGATGCCGTTTTTGTGTGGGTGGGTTTCTTTATTGAGAGCAGAACTCACAACTTAAATGTTGGTGTGATGCTCCTTGTTGAATTCAATTCAGTGCTGTTTTCGAGCAGGTTTGCATGGTGTAGAGTTTATACTCTGTGGCACCTTGAAAATTTTTATACAATGCAAGGCTTTGTCACAAATATTATTGTTGCATATTTATTCTCTTCCTCAATTAAGTTTCATAAAGTTTGATAGTATTGGATCACTGGTTTCATTCTTTGATCTCGTTGTTCATCAAAAAATGTTTCATCCATGATATGTTAAAATTGCACTCCTATAAGGGCTGAATTCATCCTTATCCTTTTTTGTTCCTGATACTACAGAAAACTTGAAGGATTTGCAAAGATTTTTGCGAAGGGATGATCCACAAACACGAGATGTTTTTAAGCTGGTTAGCAAATGGAATATCGCTTCAAATCACTTGATACCCATAATTGAGCACTACCAGGGTGATTGTGAATTAGTGATAAATGCAGGTATTTTGGTTTTTGCTTCTGATTATGTTTTAAATAATTGATGCTAGTAAGAGATTTATATGCTTTTCTTTCTCCTTTCCAGTAAAAGTCATGGTCTTCCTAACGATGCCTATAGATCCCACCTCTGATGACATTAGTGGACAAATGGAGTATCTATGGAATATAAAGGTGGCTGTCACACGTAACGATGCAATAGCAGTCATTGTATCCCTCTTGGAAGATCCTTTAGAACATTTGGAATGGTGAGCAATGATTCTTTGGCTTAAGAACCCTCGTAATAATCTTTTGGTATCATATATGTTTATGAGTTTTTTTTATTCTTTCTATGAGTTAAAGGACTTTTAAATGGCTGTCAGCTACCTTACAAAACTACCACTTGCATCAATTTGAACAACCTCAAATTTTGTGAATGTTGTTTGACAATTGAAGTTAGTTTCTTATTTGATATTTTCTTATAAGACATTAGATGCGACGTGAGAAATCTACTTGAATGCTTCTTTTAATCTATGCATGTTAAGATAGTTGTGACACCTATTCAATTGGGAAGATATACATATATTGCAATTTGTATGCATATATCTATTGAAAACTTGTCAAAAGCGAGAGAGACAGAGGGAGATCCAACTAATGTTGTCAGATTCGCTTCGTAGTCTATTTCGGTTTGGTCTGAAAAATGAAGCAATTCGGTGCTTCAGTTGATTCCGGGGAAGATTTTTAAACAAAAATTTGAAAAATAATAATTATTTTTTTTAAAAAGTAAATGAATAATAAATAAATTTGTTACTACTAATACGTTCAAACTATTACCTTTGACAAACCATAATAAAAAGAGCTGAGTTATAGCTTCGACATTCATCATTTTGCGTTTCAAATAAACATGTAATGATAAATATGTGAATGTCCATCGTTTTATGTTCTACACCAGATGAAAAATTGCAAATACAATGGTCAGAAATATATGTGTGCGAATCTATAACCATAGAGATCACAAAATATCCAACAACAATATGCTTGGGAATAGATGGAAGGTATGAGACTGGTCCCAACTTAAAAATGGCTCGTCTTGAACCTGCTCCGCCTCTTAGGTGCTGGGAAGATGTTTACGCTCTCTACGCCAAACCCTCTTCTTCGCCTTCCAGGCCTGAGGCTCTTAGTTCTCGCCCCTGTGCTTCCTATTCTCGGGTTGCTGCCTCCCGTAAGCAGCCCCCCCCCCCTCCCCCACCTCACCCTGTTCCTCACTCGTCTTCTCCTGTGACCCCTGGTCTTCCTTCTAGGTCTCCTTTCCTTCCTTCCTTTATCTCTGTCTCGCCTGAAGTGGTTGAGAAATCTAAGCCTAAGCTTCTGGACTCGCAGATTGGTTGCTTCCGCCCCGCTCGCCAAGATTTCAGAGGCATTGAAAGGGCCGCGCAGCAACACTGGAATTTGCCCAACCTCACCTGCAGTCACCTTTCCAGAGGTGGCGTTCTCTTCTCTTTTCCCTCCTCTCATAGTGCTTCTCGCACTTCAAGACCCCAACCCCTTCACCTTCCAAGGTGCTCGCTACTCCCTTCGGGCGTGGTCATCTTCCACCGAATCCTCTTCAAGCATGGTCCCCTGTAACCTTTCGATGCCTCGTTTCTGTGTGCGGGTCTTGTTTCGATTCATTGGATCTCGCTTGAATCTCTACCCCGTGGCTCCATTCATGTTCTGGTAGAACTGTTGGACCCTTCCCTCCTTCCCAAGGTCTTGTCGCTCGAGGTTGGGGACCTCTTCTTCCCCATTTCGATTTCATGGTCTTTGGCCTTCCCTCCTTCCCCTTTTTTCCTTGACAATTCGGCCCCTGTTAAGGTTCTGCTAGTCCAGCAGGCCTCTTAGACTCTCCTTGCTAAGAAAGCACGCTTGCGCAAGAGGCATCGCCGCCCCCCTGATCAGGATGGAGCTGGAGGCCGCCACCAAAACCCTCAGCCCCTCCACCCCTCATCCTCGCCAACCTCTCTCAACCCGGAGTGTAACGGGTCGACCCTTCTGGCCCCGACCATCGTTGCTTCACCTTCGTTCATTCGTCCACCCGGTAAGGAGATCCGGTCCTCCTCGGGTTTTCCTCTGACCCGAGTCCCTCTTTTTCAAATTTCTCTTCTCTTCCCTCTTCGTCCGACGAGTGCCCCCCATCTGCCTCTCCACAGGACGTGTATCCCCCCTCTCCCCACCCCCGCTGCCTCTCCGGTCCTGATGTCTTTTCTGTCTTTTGCCCCTGGCCACGCATCGACCTTCGCTTGCCATTCCCACCCCCCTCGAAACCTCCTTGGTTCCCTAGCCGGTTTCCTCTGCTCCCTCTGGCTGCATGTCGACTGGGGGCACCGTTGGTACTCCACCTCTCGTACCTCCTCTATTGGCGTCGCCATCACCGTTTCTTCCTCAGTCTTTCTCCCTTCTCCTTCCGTACCTCCTCTGCTAGCGTCGCCTTTACAGTCTTTTCCCCCCGCTTGTTTTGCCACGTGCTCCCTTCTCTTTTTCCCCTCGCTTTCCCCTTTTTTCTCTCCTCCTTTCCTCTCTTCTGTCCCGTGTCTGGGCCTCTGCTCTCGGTTCGTCTGCTCTTCCACTCTCCCCTCTTTGGGCTCCTGGTTCGGTTTGTCCCTTACCCGACCCAACTTTATCCCCTGCCACCTCTCTTCCTGTGTCTGCGGCTTCTGTGCCTAATGGAGACTTTCCTCCTTGGGAGTCAGTGGAGTTAATTCTGGGGGCCGCCCACCCTGGCCTCAAGCCGCGTTACCTTCTTCCCTCTCCCCTCTGTGGTTCCTCAGGTTCTTTTCTTGAGTTTAGCGGGCCGTCCCTTTTTCTTCCCTCAGCTCTCCCCTACCTTGCCTCCCTTCCTCCTCTGTTCCCTCTCTGGTCTTCCTCCTTTCCCCACCCCTGTACCCTCGCTTCGCCCCTTTTGCCTCCCTTCTTTCCTTCTCTGGCCCTGATACACCCTCCTCCCTTTCCTGCGATCTGGACTTTGCCAATACCTCCCTAGGTTCCCCACCTCCTATTGGTCTCCATCCTTGTGTGGTTAGAGTTCACAGAGTCCACTCCTGTCACCACTGCCTTGGCCCTTTCTGCCTCTCTCACCACTTGGTCTCTATTTCCCACTTCCTTGCTTTTCTCCCCCCCACTGCCGTTCTTACCCTACCTGTTCCCCCTCCCCTCTCCTCTTCTCATTTCTTTGAGTTCTTTCCTCCTTCCCCTTCTCCTCTGCAGCCGTCATCCTCCCTCTTGGCCCCTACTCCCTCCTTTCTGCATACTCTGGCCCCTCCCTCTTATCCCTCTACCCTATCCTCCACCCTCCGGGTTTCTTCTTCCGCCCCCCTTAGCATTCTCTCTGCCTTCCCCCCTGACCTTTACCCGTCGCTCTCCCGTTCTTCATTGCAGGCTCTTGACCCCTGTGTTGCTCGGCTTGAAGAGCCCATCTCTCCCCCCTCGTCTTGTGTCTTTGACAGGGTGGTCGACGGGGATGGGCGAGATGTCTCTACAACTACTCTCACTGAGGCCCTCTCTCTCCCTCCCCCCCCCCCCCCTTGATTCCAGTGATTGAGGGGGTCAATGGGGAAGGGCTGGACCGTGACCTCGATAGTATGATCGACATGTACCAGGTGATGGGGTTCCGAAGTGATGCCCTTGTTCGACCAACGGACCGGCTGAGGCTAGTCGATCCACTGAGCACTTCGGAGGTGGGTTTCAAAGGACAGAGGGAACTACTTAATCTCTTCTCCTCCCTAGCTCCGCAGGATACTCCCCCTCTTTAGAAGGGTCTCTTACCTCCCTCCAAGTTTGCTCGTTGAGGTGCTCCCCTAGGATTGCCTCCCTACTTTACTCCGCCTCCTCCTCGTGAAGCTCATTTCGTGGACCATTAGAGGCGCCATCCCTCGAAAAGGTAGGCCTTAAAGGACTTGTCTTCAAAATTCTGCCCCTCTATCCTAGCCATCTTTGAAACTAAGAACCCTGACCCCACCCTTTTCCAAGTACGTCAGGTCTGGGGTAGATGACATTGCCAGTGGGTTGCTCTACCTGCAGCTGGTGCTTCAGGGGGAATTTGGATTATCTGGGACCCCACTAGTCATGCTCTTACCTCCTCGCACATAGGGGAGGTCTCGGTCACCCTACTGCTCTCTAGAATTTCAGATGGCCTGGCCTGGAAATTTAGGGTTGTTTACGGCCCTTGCAATTCGTCTTCTAGGTCTCTTTTTTGGGCCGAATTGGACCTTGTTGCTTCCCTCTCCAACTCGATTTGGTGCCTGGGTGGTGATTTCAGTATCACCCGTTGGTCTCATGAGCGCAACTCCTCTGCCAATATCTCTCAGGGTATGGTTTAGTTTTTTGACTCCATTACTAGGAATAACCTCCTAGATATCTATCTCCAAGGTAACAGATTCACCTGGTCCAGCCACTCCTCACATCTTTCTCTCTCTAAGCTCGATAGGTTTCTGTTTTCCGTTGACTGGGAGGAAATGTTTTCGGACTCCCATGCAGTGGCCTTGCGCAAACCAATCTTTGACCGTTGCTTTATCCTTTTGTCCACCGTAGCATGTATTAGGGGCCCTAAACCATTCAGATTTGAATTGGCCTGGTTGGTCTCATTCCTGTTTGGTGGAACTCTTTCTCTGCTCAGGTAAATGGTAGAGCTGGTTTCAGGCTCCAATCGAAGATCCAGTTATTGTAAGCCTCTCTCAAGACCTGGAGGTCCTCGTTTTCCACGAATTTTTCTCTAACCAAGTTTGAACTTCCCGCGAAGTTACAAGGTTTGGATATCAGCGAAGAATCTCGTCCCTGTCTTCTTCCGAAGCTGAGCTCAGAACCCAATCTAATCTGGAGTATCTCTCTACTCTGAAAAAAGAAGAGATTTATTGGTTTCAGAGGTCAAGGGTTAACTGGCTGAAAACAGGGGGCCACAACACCCGTTTCTTCCACAGGAGCGCTAATTGTCGTAAGAGAGACAATACTATTTCGACCATTAAAGTCAACAGCTGCTACCTTGAACAACCGGTGGAGATTGACTCAGCTATCATCAATTTCTTCCAGCACCTTTACACTGCCCCTAATGGTCCTAGACCCTCCATGAATGACTTAGATTTCTTATCTCTCTCTGTGGATCAGGCAAACTGGTTAGAACGTCCTTTCCTCGAGGAGGAGATCCTTACTGCTTTGGCTGAGCTTGCTAAAGACAAAGCTCTTGGGTCTAATGAGTTCCCTGTGGCTCCTTTTAAAGCTTTTTGGTAAACATTTCGAG